AATCGATAAAAACAGAAATTAATCAATAAACGATGTAGCGGAAATTAATAAAATTGCGAATTAGTGAACTCAACCTGTTGACTCCATTGGTCTTAATTGTTCAGGAAAACTATGAGAACTACGACGGTTTCGTCATTTTGCACGGAACGGACACGATGTGCTATACGGCCAGTGCGCTGAGCTTTATGTTCGAGAACTTGGGTAAAAGCGTGGTGGTGACCGGATCGCAGATCCCAATCTGTGAAGTTCGCAGTGACGGCCGCGAGAACCTGATCGGCTCCCTGATTATGGCTGGTAACTACGACATACCAGAGGTACGAGCATGTTGGCACTTTCAAAAGTAATAGCATACTCACAAAGGCTTCAGAAACGGAAGTACCGTAGATTTACCATCATGACTGATTGAAATAGAGCTGTTTGACGTTGTTTGAATCTGGGACTTGGGATTCGTCTTTTCTTCTTTTCTTCATTGATGGAAGGGTAAATAATCAGAATAAAGTAAGGCTTACTCCCTCCAGCTGTTACAGTATCCATGAAGATGTTTCATGCACTGTAAAACGCTCGGCTTATGAGGTTCTGAATAGATCTGAAGCAAGATGTTTGATGTAGGTCTGTAAGCGAATAAAGGTTGTAGGGTTATTGTTAGACAGTAGTTGTCAGCCTCTTAATCATCTTTAAAGCTGGAATATCCTTCGCATATTTTAACAGGTGACCGTATATTTCAACAGCAAGCTCTACCGCGGGAACCGAACTTCAAAGATCGACACGTCATCGATGAATGCGTTTAAGAGCGCAAATATTCTCCCATTGGCCACAATGAAAATTTCAATAAACGGTAACGCAGTTTTGCATGCACACTGCTCTCGTATATATACATATATATATATATCTTTGAACTTTTCAGTTAACTGGGAAACCATATTCAGAAGTCACGGCATGGATCGTTTCAGATTCGAGCCAAACCTCAATCCAAACATTGGTCTTTTACGTATTTTCCCATCGATCCCCTTGGAATGCGTAATTTGTTATGGCAATGTACATTTTCATTCATACAGAGAATCGGTGTTGTTTTCAGGTTAACTCTTTTTTGAAGCCTCCGATTCAGGGGGTCATCCTGCAAACGTACGGAGCCGGAAACATTCCTTCGCGTA